TAGCACCTGGCGGCTCCGTCCAGGGGAACCACCTCCACGGCCAACAGCCCTCCAGCCTCAGACGTGCTGGCGGAGGGTGCGCTGAGAGTGTACCTTGAAGGGAAGCCCCCGGTCTGGGGCAGTGCTGTCCTGTCGGTGCTGGGGTGGAGGGTCTGGTGACAGGACCCCTCAGCTGCCTCCATCAGTGGGGAGCTGTGAGGAGCTGGGCACAGAAATGGGCCAGAGTCGCCTGGCTGCAGCCTGACCCTGACAATGACTGGGTACGTGGAGTGGAGGCAGGAGAGGATGGGAGGAGGGCCCCTGGAGTGGAGGCAGGAGAGGATGGGAGGAGGGCCCGGGCCTCCTACCATGCCTGGCTCCAGCCTCCTGTCTGCTGGGTGGGGGTGTGCAGCAGTGTGGGGGACTTCCCAGCCGCTGCTCCGAGTACTGGTCGTCATCCTCTCACGCCCCTCCCCTTCCCCGCAGTGAGAACCCCCTGCCCACGGTGGAGATCGCCATCCGGAACACCGGCGATGCCGACCAATGGTGCCCGCTGCTGGAGACCCTGACAGACGCTGAGATGGAGAAGAAGATCCGCGACCAGGACAGGAACACAAGGTACCCCGCCCTTGCGCCCCAGCTCTGCCTGCAGGCACCCATCTCTCCAAGCAGGGGTGGGACCGCCTCCCCTCCCCAAGGCTGCACGGCTGGCTGCACCCCTGTGTGAGGAGCCCGCAGGTGGGTTTCTCTGCAGGAAACAGAAGCATGTCCTGGCTTGGGTCTGACCAGCCTCAGGTGTCAGGCTCCCCCGGGGAGGGGTCTGACCCTGCTGGGGGCCCACTTCGTCTGTCCCACTCCCCCACCTGGTGGCCCTGGAGTGAGTCCTGTGGCCAGGCAGCCACCTGGGGCTGGGAGCTGGCCCTGCTCACCACTCTTCCCCCCTCCTGCAGGCGGATGCGGCGTCTCGCCAACACTGCCCCCGCGTGGTGACAGCCCTCATCTCCCACGGAGCATCTCAGAGGCTTGGACCGCCTCTCCTGCATCTGCTGGCGTGGAGGGAAGCAAGGTTCACCCCGGTGCCACCCTGAGGACCGGGTGGGGCTCCCAGGTCGGCCCGCTGGGCGCACATTCCGCTCTCTGAGCCCCTTTCCCTCCGGCACCCTCCCCACGTCTGGGGCCAGGAAGAAGCCTCATTTTGGGTTAATTTGTTTTCATACAGGAGCCCAGGCAGGGCTAGCAACACTTTTTAAATAAAAGGCAATAGGTCATGTTGTGGCTATTCTTTTAATTTGCCAGAGGGCACATACACTTGCCAGAGAATGACAGAGGGTACCCTTAGGGGGACCGTCACACCTCAGTCCCTTCTCCATTTCATTCTCATTTTGGGATCTGGGGCACACACACGTGGGCCCGGCATGTTTTTCAAATTGCCGGGTCTGGGACTCAGACCTCTCAGTTGGCCACGTGGGATCCAGCCACCTTAACCACCAGGCTGTGGGCTGTCCCCAGGAGGCCATGCTGACTTTCTCCAAAGTGGTAACATAAAAATAGCGGGAAAACCAGGAACGGGGCCTGGCTGCAGGTGGCATTATTGCCAGGGCTCACTTGCCCGACCTCTGAGCCTTCTGTGGCTCCTATCCCCAGTGGGCCGGTGGGGGCTCATGCCCTGAGTTGGCCCAATCCTGGCTTTCCCTTCACCCTCCAGGCTCCCAGCACACTGGCACCGCCTTGCAGAGGGAGAAGTGAGCAGTGTGGCCACAGAACTCAGGGCAGGACACCACCGGCCTTCCAGCACAGCCCCCTCTGCCTAGCCTTCAGAAGGAGCCACAGGCTCTCCCGCTGGCCCTGGGCAGCCCTGGCCCCGCTGCATGTAGGTGGGCTACCGCTGGACATAGGCCTTGCTGCTCTGGAGCCCTCTGCAGAGAGCCGGACCTGTGGGCACTGCCAACAGGTTGCCAGTCCGGACACGTCAGCCGGCCCGCCTGCGCTGTGGCTGGCCTGTTCCTCTCCAAGGCTGGCGTAGCAGCCCAGTGCTGCCCTCGGGGTCAGTGTCCTCTGCAGAGCCTGGCCTTGGTGGGGCCCCTGAGCACATCCTAGAACAGGGCTGTTCCGGGGGAGCTGGTCCTCGGGCCCTCTGTTCTCCAGCAACGAGAGGAACTCACCAGAGCACAGCAAGGGGACAGCCTGGCCTCACTGGAGGTCCCCCACAAGCTAGAGGATCCCAGCCTGGCTGGCTTTGGCCATGAACCCACCCTTTTGCTGAGGTGTTTGCAAAAGGCAAGAGGCAGCCCGGACCCCACAACGTGGGGTGGGAGGAACCCTGCTCCCCTGGCTCTGCCATACCCACTGGGGACTTCACCACTCTAGAGCCCCTCGCAGAGGGCCAGGCCTGTGTGGGCAGTGCTGGGACATCACCAGGCAGGGCAGCCCATCCGCCTGGAGGGTCCCAGGGCAGGACCCGGGCTGGGTCCTCACCTCCCACGTGTTGCCGGCCCACGGCTGTGCAGAGTCAACTGCTGCTCCGTACGGTTCCACTACAAAGTCCAGCTCTGATTCAACGGGGGACATTTTGTTACCATGGAAATAACAACCCTGGGGTGTGAGCATCCAGGAGAGGCGTCCTGGGTCTTTGATGCCCGATACGGCAAGGAGGAGGGAGCCGCGGGGTCAGAGGAGGCTCACAGGCCCTCACTTAAAAGTAGCAGAGCAGGGGCCAGCGAATGGTGGTGTGGTTAAGGCACTGGACTCCCACCTGACTGGCTGCGGGTCGAGTCCCAGACCCGATGGTTTGGGGATCACACGGGGCATGTGCATGTGTTCCCAAATCCTAAGACGACGAGAAGGGATTGTGGCACGGGCATTCCCCTCGCGGGGTGATTTCTACGTTCCCTGTCTCTGGCGAGCACATGGACTGTATGGCCAAAACCTTTAAAAAAGAGAACCAGGGCAGTGGTCTGTCGGCCACAGGACACGCCAAGGCAAAAGCCGAAGGCTTGGGTCACAGAAAGGCGAACGTCCTGGTCCTGGCTGCCTCTGTACCTGACCTCCGGGCCCTGTCACCAGGCGGGAGTGAGGCGAACACCCACTTGTCAAGGTTGCTCATGAATGACAGGAGAGGCCAGGCACCCTGGGCAAGGGCACCTGGGCTTAGCTGCAAAGATCTGGCCACCCCCCCTCATTGTCCAGCAGGAAGCAGAGGCCCAGGGTGGGTGACTGGCCCAGGGCTTCATCAAGGCACTGTGGGGCGGGAAGGGCAGGCAGGACCTCGAGATCCCTCGTCATCTGTGAGCGCAGAGCGCGGGGCAGCTGCACACCGGTCCTCACCTTGTGTGATTCTCGGTCCATACACCTGGGCAGAGACCAGGCAAGGCTTGGGAGTAGAGCGGAGCCCTGGCCAGCCCTCCCCGGGGGTGAGGAACAGGCATGGAAGAGTGTACCTGCCCAGAAAGGGGGAGCCAGAGCGGGGCCAAGAGGCTGCGGGCCATTCTCTTTATTCAGCTGGGTCCTCTCCTGGGCTGCTGGGGCGGGCTGCTCTGCTCACAGTGGGGCGAGGGGTAGGACGGAGGCCAGAAGCCTCTGGGTCTTGCTCTGGGTGGGTCACTGCTGTCGGGGTGGCAGCTGGGGTCCAGGCTGCTCCTCAGGGAGGGGCAGGTAATTGGGGTCCTCCTCGGGGGCATCCAGTAGCAGCTTCCTGTGGGGAGGGGCTCATGCTGAGCTGAGGCCTGCACGGGTCCCCCACGGGGCCAGGGACCATCCGGAGAGGGAGGGGGACTTGTCCTCTCCAGCACTCACAGGAAGCCAGGGGTCAGCAGCAGCCTCTTGCCTCCAGGCTGGTTGGGGAAGACATCCTCCAGGAAGTAGTAGATGTGGCCCACGACAATCCCTAGAGAGAGCCAGGGCCTGCTAGGAGCCTGCACAGCCCAGAGCCCCTGGCCAGGCCCTGCAGCATGAACTCCCAAGGTCCCATCATCCAGGGTGGGCCAGGGGCGGCCTGGGAACCTGAGAAGAGCAGGGGCACTGACCCACCCACTCCACCCCAGGGAGCCATGCAGGCTTCAGCAGGTGAGCCCTGAAGATGCAGATCTCGTGGACAGGCTGGCTTTGACAGGTGGGGAGGCAGATGGGCACCAGCACAGGTGTGTGGGGGGATGCATAAGCAGCACCCGGGCTTCAGGGGTGCGGCTAGCCTGGGGTGGGCCGGATGGACAGGCAGCTCACCCAGCAGGTCCACCAGGATGGAGTTGCCCAGCAGCAGCGAGAAGCCCATGAGGGCCCAGGGCAGGAATGGCGCCTGGAAAGTGATGAGGCCGAAGAAGTTGACCCTGACCCGAGGGCTGCGGCGGCTCCACACGTACACCAGCATGGCCACCAGGGCCTGGCCCAGGAAGAACAGGCTGCCTAGGAGCCCCAGCAGCTGGGTCCGAGTCAAGGTGCCCTGGTGCCTGGGACTCCTCTGACTTCCGGAGTCCCTGCCTTCCCCCTGATCGCCCCATGTGCAATCCCCCAAGATGAGCCCTCCGTGGCCTTCAGTGCCCATCGATCGGCCCCGCACACCTGTCCACTGCACCCCAGATTCAGCCACTGCCTGACCCGGCCCGTTTCCGACTACTGGCATGGAGGGCTCAGCAGCCCAGGCACCTCGCCTGGCTCTCCTGCCACCACCCTGTGTATTTTGCACCCATGAAGCACGCTAGGTACATCTGGGCTGGAGGAAAGGGCCGCAGGACCAACGTGGCCCGGACTCCTAGGGGCAGTGGCCGGACTTTGCAGCCACGGGAAGGATACGGTCATGACGACGCCCCCGAAGAGGAACATGAAGACGAAGTCGGCCGTGCGGCCGCGGAAGGAGCCCTCCTCCAGCATGCGGCAGTAGCGGAACCTGCGGCGTCGGTATAGGAAGTACCGCCCGGGCGGGCCTCAGTTTCCCCGCCCGCCCCCGCCCCTGCCCGGTGCGCGCGCTGCAGGATACACGAAGAGCATGTTGAAGAAGAAGCTGAATCCCAGGGGCCCGAAGAAGAGGAAGTTGGTGACGAGCCTCCAGACCTGCGGGGGGCAGGCAGTCAGCAGCGGGCCCAGCGGGCCGAGCCGACAGGTGCCAGGGGCGGGGCAGCCTCACCTGGAACTTGCGGAACACGAGGTGCGGGTTGAAGTAGAGCTGGAAGGGGCTGAGCAGTTCCAGTTGCTGCGGAACCAGGGGCGCGTCAGGGGCGATCTCTCCGCCTCCCTCCACCCCTCTCCCAGGGACTGTTACCATAGCGACGCCCCGACCGCTCACCACAGCGGCGGGGGGGAGGACACAGGCCGCCGTGTAGGCCCGCGTCACCGCCGGCACCTGCAGGAACTCGGCCGTCAGCCCCTGCCACGCCATTGATCCTTCTCAGGCACGCGTGGTCGGGCCTACGCTCTTTAACCCGCCTCCCAGCCCCGCCTCACTCGTGTCTTCGGCCAATCCGCGTCCCAAGCGCTGGGCGCCCAGGCTGGAGGGCGGGGTTTCAGGGCCCGGTAGCCAATGGAAAGAGGAAGCGGGATGTCGAGGGCGGGACGAAAGCGTAGGCGGGCCGAGACTCGTGGCCAATGAGCAGGCCCCAGGGTGGAGCACGTGGCGGTTGTTGTGACTGCGGTGGCGGCGCGGGAGAACGTGTGGCCAATGAGGACCTGGATCCCTTCTCGGCCTCTTAGGGGAGGATCAATAGCGAGGATCCACGGCAGAACTCGGGGGCGGGGCTAAGGGTATAGGGTTAGGCGCGAAAGCACCCAGACCAGGTGCACCTGACCCGGAGGTGACGCGGCGGGCCTTAGAGTCTGGCCCGCCCACAGGTCGCTGGCGACCTGGGCGCGGCGTCTCTGGTATGAGAATCGGTCCCACCTAGCCCATTGCAAAGGAGTCGCTCAGGAGCGTGTTCAAATTCCCCCGAACGTCCACGGCTCTGCTCAAACAGACCGACTGCTGTGCGTGGGATGGTCTTCCCTGGGACCCGCCGGAGGAGGAGCTGGGTTGGGATCTTGCAGCTCCTGGTAGGGCTCCGAGGTTGGGGAGGAGGGCCCTGGCCAGTGCACAGACTGGAGAGGGCTGGCTACAACATTTTAAAGAGTCGTTTATTCATTTGTTTATTTAAATTTGACAAGAGAGAAAAAGAGAGAGAGGGACGATGAAAAGGCAAGCCACTAGGTCCAGGACTTGAACCATCGGCCATTTGAGAGTCCAGCACCTTAACCACTATGCCAAGTGCTGGTCCCTATATTTTCATTTTTTAAACATTTCCCTTTTTTTAAATGTTTAATATTACTTTTAAAAAGAGAGGTTTTTGCCATAGGGCATGTGCGCTCGCCAGAAAGACAAGAGATAGACAGAAAGCAAGAAATCACCCCCCAGGGGGGATGGCCATGCCGCAATCCCTTCTCCTCCATTCTCCTCTCAGGATCTTGGGCATGCACACACACACATACACACACACACGCCCAGCATGAGTTTAAGCCACTGGGTCTAGGACTCGAACCGCGGCGGACCTCAGCGACATAGCCATTATGCCAAATGCTGGTCCCTAAGCATTTCCCTTTTTAAAAATGTACTTATCATAATATTATTACTATTATTTTTAAGTTTGCTGTCGGGCACATGTGCTCACCAGTGAGAGAGGGGGAAGTGAGAAAGCAAGCCTTCAGGTCTGGCTCTCCAGTGGTGGTGGGCCATGTGGGAGTCCCGGGCCTCAACCACTGCCCCCTGCTGGCCCAGAGGACCTTGGTGGAAGAGAAAAACTCCATTCATTCATTCATTCATTCCGCTGTTTACTGAGCACCTGCGATATGCTGATTGCTCTTCTACATACAACAGCTAACAAAAGACAGTGTCTTGGAACAGCAGGTGGCACTGTGGCTAAGATGCTGGACTCCCACATGAAGGTCTGCAGTTCGAGTCCTGGACCTAGTGACTTGCTTTCTCACTTTCCCTCTCTCTATCTATCTCTGGTGAACAAGCAAGCTCTGTAGCAAATTTAAAAAGAATAATAATAATGATGAATAGCATTAAACAGTTAAAATTAAAAGAAAAAAGAAAGAAAACACTGTCTTATTCAGTCCAGCTGCGGAGAGAGTTAATAGCACAATAAGTTAGTGTTGAGGACAGTGTGATGACGACAGAAAATAACTCCAAGTGAGCAATCAGGGTCAGGTGAGGGCCACCATGCTAGCTGGGGTGACGAAGAGCACCTCCATGAGAAGGTGATATTTGACTGTCACTCCCTGTGTCAAATAGGATAATCTCTATCTAAACAAAATGAGAAAACAGAAAATAAGTGTTGGCAAGGAAATGGTGAAATCGGAACCCTTGTGCACTGTTGCTGGAAATGCAATGTAGCAGCTACAGAAAACAGTATGGGGGGCCAGCAGGTGGCATGGTGGTTAATGCAGCTGCATCCCACGTGGCCAAGTCTATGGTTCGAGTCCCAGACCTGGCAGCCTGAAAATCATGCTAGGTGCATGTGTGTGCATACCCAAAATCCTGAAAGGAGAGTAGAAGAGAAGGGACTGTGATGTGGCCATCCCCCAGGGATAATTTTTCACTTTCTCTCTCTCTGTCTCTGTCTCTCTTTAGTGAGTGTACATGCCCTATATAGTAAAAACTAAAAATAGGAAAAAAAAATACATTTTTGGATATTACCCAAAAATAAAAAAGGGGGAAAAATCTAGTTATTACAAATAAATAAATAGATGTTTAAGAAAAATCTGGCTGGCAGGTGGCATGGTGGTGGTTAAGGGTGCTGGACTCTCACAAAGCCAACTACAGTCTGAATTCTGGGCCTGGCGGCTTGGTTTCTCACTTTCCCTCTCTCCCTCACTCTGGCCTTCTCTGGTCAAGTTAAAATGAATAAATTAAGTTAATAAAATAATTCCTTACAAAAGAAAAATCTAATAACTGTACAATCCTACAGTTCTGTTTCTGGATTTGAGATATTTGTATGCCCAAGCTCACAGCAGCGCGATTCACAGTGGCCAAGAGGTGGAGCAAGCCACATGCCCATCAACAGACGAATGGACGAACAAAATGAGGCTTATACGTACTCTTTTTTAAAAAATAATTATTTATTTAATTTTATTTATTATCATTATTTTTTTTAATTTGCTATATTTAATTTTAATTTATAGGGCACTTATGCTCCTTAGAGAGACGGGAGGAGGGAAAGCGGGGGAGGTGAGAAAGCAAGCTACCAGGTTCAAGATTCAAACCACGGTCGGCATGGGAGAACCCAGCATGTTAACCACCATGCCACCTACTAGCCCCATGTACATACTGTCTTAATCCACTATTGTACTGCCATCAGAAATACCTGAAACTGGGTGAGTTATAAGAACCAAAGTTTAGGAGCCAACAGGTGGCATAGTGGTTAAGGCACTGGACTCCCACATGGTTCGCCATGGTTCAAATCCTGGACTTGGCAGCTTGAAACTCACGCCAGGTGCGTGTACATGTATGCCTAAAATCCCAAGAGGAGAATGGAGGAGAAGGGATTGTGGCATGGCCATCTGTCTTGTGGGGTGATTTATCGCTTTCTGTCTTTCTGTCTATTTGGTGAGCATATGCACCCTATAGCAAAAATCTCTCAAAAAAAAGAATCAAAGTTTAGAGGTTTGAGATCCAGGAACCAACTTCCATTTTTTTTTCCTTTGAGAGCTTTTTTGCTATAAGGTGTGTACATTCGCCAGCCAGACAGAGAAAGACAGACAAAGCAAAAAATCACTACCCAGGGAGAATGGCCACACCACAGTCCCTTCTCCCTTCTCCTCTCGCGAACCATCATACAAGCACACACACCCAATAGGAGTTTTAAGCCACCAAGGCCGGGACTTGATCCACAGTCAACTTCGTGGGAGTCCAGCGATGTAACCATTACACCATCTGCTAGTCCCCCAAGGGCCAGCTTCCAGTGAGGATTCCACCTGGCAAAGGGAAGATCTTGAGCAGAGTGTCTGTCCATACGTTTCTGCTTGTCTTGGTCTACCTTTCCCTCTTAAAAACCCACCAGGGGGCCAGCAGGTGGCCTTGGTGGTTAAGGCAGCTGGACTCCCACTTGGCTGACCGTGGTTCGAGTCCTGGACCTAGCAGCTTGCTTTCTCACCTTCCTTCTCTCTCTCTGTCTCTGGTCAACTCCAATAAAATAAAAAATAAAATAAGGACAATGAATAAAATAAAATAATTCTTAAAAAAAAAATCACCCGGGACCAACAGGTGACGTGGTGGTTAAGGTGCTGGACTCCCACATGACTGATCATGGTTCAAGTCCTGGACGTGGTGGCTCTCTCTCTCTCTGTCTCTCTCTGGTAAAATTCAAAATACAATAACAAATATGGAATTAAATAAATAAATAAATATTAAACACACACACACAAAAAAAAACCACTCCACCACCAGAACTATATCATAGGGGTCTCGACCTAATGACCTTAATCACCCAAGGCCCCACCCTGGGACATCATGAAGGATGGGACCTTTGGGTGCAATATCCAATACACCTAAACACAACCAGGTCCCAACATGGGACTGTCGGGGCAATATCTACTATGGCACGAACAATGGGACATTATTCAGCTCTAAAGGAATGGAATTTTGATACATGCTACGACAGGAGTGAAACTTGAAGACGATACACAAAGTGAAATAAGCCAGTCGCAAAAACACAAGCACTGGGACCAGCAGGTGGCATGGTGGTTCAAAGCACTGGATTCCCACACAGTGGTTCGAATCCCGGACCTGGTGGCTTATTTTCTTGTTTTTCCTTTCTCTTTCTGGTCAAATTGAAAAATAATAATAATAGATGGAATTAATTCAATAAATAATTCTTTAAACAAAAAAACAAGTACTGTACGGTTCCATTTACAACAGAGGAGGCGGGGAGTCCCTGTTTGATGAGTGCGGAGTTTCAGTACAGGCTGATGACAGAGTTCTGGACATGGATGAGGGTGATGGCTACAAGGTGAATTCACTCAGGACCAGGAACTGTGCACCTAAAAACAGTTATGACGGGGACCAGCAGTTGGAGTAATGGCTATGTCGCTGGACTCCCACGTAGTCGACCGCGGTTCAAGTCCCGGACCCGGTGGCTTAAACTCACGCCGGATGTGTGCATGTGTGCCCAAGATCCCGAGAGGAGAATGGAGGAGAAGGGGTGGCGGCATGGCCAGCACATGCACCCTATAGCAAAAACCGCTCCAAAAGAAGCCAAAACATTTTTCTATTGGTCTGGCCCCAAAAGGTGAGACCTGTGGAAATGGGGCTGTGTAGCTTACAGGTTAGTTTCACAGTTTTTACGGTGGTGATTGGAAAAGGCAGGTTGCTGAGAACAGAAAGGAACGCACTTTAACCGTGAAAAGGAGGCTTCATATCCATCACAAACATACCCTGACACTATGCCAGGGGCAGCACGTG